AAAACCAAAGAAAGTTTTTTCCATTTTCAACACAACTATATCATCGGCATCTTTAACAACTAACTCAATGCCGGGTACAACAGTATTCCGCAAATACACAATTAAACCACCCGAATTCCGCTTCGTACCTTTACACCTTTCGGTTCTATGTAAAGCATGATATTCAAAATCTTTTACATGTAAATCACTCAATTCTGAGGTCCGAGATTCTGTCAAAAGGATTATATCGTTACATTTGAATATATTTTTATAAAATTCACTGTTCAGTTTATTCAGGCGTTTTGTAACAAGTCCCTGTGTATTTAAACACACAAATTTCACCGAGTTCGTTCCACGTGCATCACGCCCCGTGTCGTCCTATGCCTTGTCGTCACTGTGCCTGTCCCCGCCTACAGCTCCCGCGATGGCCATATCGGGACGTACTGGCTAATCCCTGGCGCTCTGGTGAGATCGCGTCATCGAAGGGTGGGCAATAGTCGTCACTATCATCCTCTTCGAGGCTCGAGCTGTCGTCCGACAAATCATGATCACTCACGGCCTTGTCGCCCCTCCCCCTACGGTATAGAATACGATTCCAGTCAGGCATCTCATCACGCACAACAATATTGTTTACAATAAGTTTCGCCGGGAAGACAATCCTCGCCTCTTTGCCTGCACGTTTAGCTTTACGCAAATCGTCCAGCAATGACTTCCGTGCCCGTTGAATTTCCTCAGGATAATCTCTACTAATACCATAGCCAGAATTTTTCAAAACACCAACTTTGGACATGATCAGTTCTATGTCGGTATAGTCTCGGAAACATGCAATAAGGGGGCGGGGCTTCGCATGTACACCACGTGTTGGTTTGCCTAACCGGTGGGCTCGTTGAATACTCATGGTGTCCTCAATGGCCAGTGTTGTTTCAATAAATTTTCTAACAACACCAGAACATCCACCCTCCACGGCCTTGTCATTAGATTCAGTCAAGCCAAAAAACAACAAATTGTTCCTCCTATTTCTGCTTTCAATATCGATTGACTTGTACTCCACATAGGACAACCTATAGTCCATATCATCAAGGTCACCTCTTATATTAGTTATGTCCTTGGATGCCTTATCGACACGTGTACTGACCTTATTCAGGACTCCTTGAATTCCATCCAATTGACAAAGTTTTCTCATCATTATTCCAAGCTTTTCATCCACTGTCAGACTATCGAACCTGGAGAGGTCTATTTCTGTAGCTGTCCCGTGTCCACCGGTATTTTTCCTGGCCCTCTTACTTTGAACTGTAGCGAACCCCTCGTTGTCCACCTGAGTCCTGTCCTGTCTACCGCCATGTTTTCCACCTGTATCCTGAGATACCACACTCGCAAAACTGTTTTCACAATATTTAGGCCCAAAACCTCGCTGACCACGACCTCTGTTACCACCATAAGAACCACTGACTCTTCCACGACCACGACTGCTCGTTTTCAGCACACAGTTATCACTTTAGCTAAATATTTTAACAAATTTTCTACAGAGCGAAATCACTGACCACTACCGATCCATGTGACGTCACGAGTGTAAAAAAAAAAAAAAGAAAAAAACAAAAACGGCCTTTCATAATTTCAAACCGCAGAAAGTACCATATCAATAGGTTTAAACGTAAAATAGATCACTCATTTATAACGATGTTATAGATGCTGTTGGAAGATGATTTTGATTCAAAATAGATGCATATACTTGTATTTTAGTTTAAACATATTTTATTGCAATATAATTACAAAAGGATTGGACATAAGTTATGGCAACTTATAAACGCCCTTTCCATAATGGTTTACAACATATAAATATAATGCAATTTCTAATAATACATAAATTAATTTACAACAAACACATACTTGAGAGAGAGAGGAGAGAGAGAGAGGGAGAGAGATTTTAGTTTGACTCATTTCATGATTAAAACTATAGATCAAGATAACAAACTTATAACAATGTTATATAACAAACTTATCAAGCTTATAACAATGTTGACCCAGTTGGACTATAAACACATTCATTACTCACTACAAATTGTTCATCTCAATCCTGAAAAACGTTCCTCTTCCGTAACCACGCAGATCCTCTTTTTTTCCGTAGTCTTTCATCTAAATAATACCAACTGGGCCAACAATGTTATCTTAGCAGTTGAATAAGTAATAGCACAATACTATAGTAACATCGGATAATGAAATTAAAACAATTAAATAAATAGCGTTGTGCACTTTTCTTTAAAATCTTTTGCTAGATTTAATGAAATTATGAACGTATAAAAAGACTTCCAAAATTGTGTCAAGCGACAAATCTTCATTTCTAAATGGTACCTCTAAACTCAAATCATTTACTCGCTGAAAAAGGATGTTTCTTTGTATTCTATACTATACTATACTATATACAAAAAAATGTACTTGTATTCAGAGAGGCTAGGCGAAAAAAGGGAGAAGTTACCTTCTCTCCTCGGCTGGAAAGACCTTTTTGTTAGCAATAAATTCACCGACAGCTGCCACTGAAACGTACGGCTGTACAGTTAAGGATTTCTCCATTGCTGATTATAAACGCCAAGAAAACATTGACTTTTGTCAATTTCTCAACACGAATTGTCCATAAGGATCAAACTATATTATCATGAAGAGTTTTGTGACAAGGTTTAAAAAAAAAAAAATCACTAAATTGTCCCTTTAATATTACTATGTTTACAACTATGAAAATATTTTTTTAGTGTTAATTGTATGTTCTATTTTCATAAAATGAATTTCTGTTTCCTTTTCATCGTTGTAAGAACTTAAGGTGGCTCCACACTTTCGCAATTAACCAGCCAAATTCGTTGAAACTTTCATATAATGGTAATGCAACTTTGTAGAGTTGATTTTATGGAAATCTTAACATTCCGATAGTTTGGGGACTTTTTTGGAAAAAATACCAAAAAACTGTATTTTCGTCAATTTTAATATTTTCCGGTTTTTTGTGTGTGTGACATTGTTCGGAACAATAACAACAATAATAAAATGAAAAGAAGCATTTCTAATTAACCCTACAAATATTTTATTTATCGCAAAATATGTAACACATGTTACACAAAGTGTTTTTTATTGAATTTGAACGGATAAAAGTGATTATCTACAAGCTTAAAGCAAACAGGACACAAAGATCTATACATATAGAATGGGAAATTGAACAAAATATACACAATGGCTTTATAATTAATTTATTTTACATTTTACAATCACTTTGATCCGGGTGAGAGTTATCTTCCTTGAAAAAAATCGGAACTTTTTGCAGAGGGGTGACATTTACACAATGACAGTTGTCTCTGTTTACATATAACAAAAATGATGGAAATAAATCAAAAATATGATATCAAAATTATCAATTTATTGTTCTTTAATGGAACCAAATTACCCTCAGTCATGTACACTTTGGACATCATTCCACAGTCCGCTAACTCACGGTATATTTATAATTACATGTCAGGTACATATGTGACCAGAGGCTATCGCATGGTATGCCGTTCTCACGTGCACTCACACATGCATTTCATAGGTATCTTGATATTTTACAAAACATTATTTTCACAGAGTAAGTAGACTACATTTGTAAACACGATTTAATCGACAGAGCTAAACTCCCTCAACAGCGAAAATCGTAACGACCTCGAGCTTATGAACTCGTGTTGCACATGTGAGGTTGGTACGTCCGCATTCCATGAGTTTCCTATATGACCTTCTTGAGGTCGTTTGGTCTCATGTCACTGTCTTCCCGTGAGTCTGTTTATGTCTATGAATTGGAAAGCTTTATTCCTGAAGTACGTGCTATTATACATTTCCCGGTAAAATCTCGATATCGGGTGTTGACATATCATCGGCACGCACGTGTACTATTGTTTACCAGGGGCCTGTTTGTTTATGCGGAGCAACCGATTTGACCGTTTATAAATGCAACAATTTCGGGTATAAATCCTGGCGGACCTGCAAATATGTATGCAGGCCTTGCAAGACTTTCTCAAGGCTCGCCTGAAAGCAGCCTCAGATTACTAGGTCCGACCTTATTTAATAAACGAACAACAGTGGTCCGATCGGTTTGACCGTTTAAACGAAAACGGCCCAGGTGTTACTATAATTTGCACTACGATATTGAATGCCCGATACGCAATACGGAAATGACGACACGGTGTACATGCACATTTCGATCAAGATAATTCAGTCCGAGCTGTACTTTTTCCGGAAGTATGTCACGAAAATGGACGCTGATGACGATGTGTGGAGCCACCTTAAGACGCAACCCAAGCCGGGAAACAAAGTGAAATTGAGACGACGCATGCGCTCAAATCGATCCACCGGAAATTGAAAGAACTTTTCATCATGGCGATGCTGCTACGAATCCTCCGGAATCCATTGGACCTATTAAGAATCTAATATCCTAGTATCTCTAAAGTCAAACTACTTAAAACATTCTGTTTTCGATAGTTCAAAACGCTCTGTCTGTGATGGTTCAGTTAAAAGTGAATGTGTACACAATGCTTTTCTACAAATGTTGATGAAAATTCAGTTCATTAAAGCACGGAATTAGTTATCTAAGTCCTTGATTAAAGTAACTTCGCTTAATTCTATGGAATGAGCAAATCTATTCAGAGAGAGTTGTGGAAATAATTATGTCATGTTAAATATTTAAAAATGATAACATTTTATAAACGTTATAAATTAAACCATGACAGAATATGACACTAGAAATTACGTTTCATGCGTTCAAAACGCAATTAAAGGGAGATTAATCTATGAGCACATAATTTATAAGTAGATAGAAATGAAGTAAAATTATAAACACAGAGTAAAAGCGTAACTTAATACAGCCAAATTCGTTGTTGTAAAAACAGGTGTTTCATCGATTCTGCATAGTTTATCGGCTATATAGAGTAATAAATCTCTCACTGAGAGAAATTTTATTTACCACTCTTTATCTCGGAAACAACCGTCGGCACTTTCCATAAACGAGAAAAAACGCGGTTACGGAAAGTGCCGACGGTTTCCGCAATCATCGTCATTACGAGCTCTCGGGACGGCTGGTCATGTTTCGCCAGGATAAATGGCCTTTCGTTGCATTCTGATACTTCTTTTCTTTGATAATTTTGATGCAATGATGAAAATTCTGAAAAAAAAAATCACAAATTAAATATACAGACTATACAAATATTAATAGTCTCGGAATTAAACGTTATTTCAGGGGAAACCTTGTTTAAAGATTCAAAATTATGATATGTCAATAAGGTCACAAGGAAGTTGAAGTCGGAAAAACGGATCTTCTAAGACATAAAAATCATGAGAATCCTGAAAATATTTGACGCAATTGTTCAGAGCTTTGTTTGTATGGGATTTTACGTCCTCGCTACAACCAAGGTCATTTACATACCAACAACTACAGGGGTTACACTCGCATTCAATCGCTGCACCCCTGGAATATGTCATAGCAAAAATTGAAGGCACTCGGCTAGATATTTGATTGGTGTCGGGTTAAAACAAACCTGACCAATCACTAGACTGATACATTTCCTTTGAAAATTACAGAGGGCGACACCCGACTTCAAAACCAGTCAATTTTACCGTTACACAACCGCGAGATTTGTTTTATGTACATCAACGGATCAACCTAGTCTTTTGTCTCGTCCACAAGCTGGCGCACACTGAGCCTTTGATTTTGCTTTGAAATATTCCAGGGGTTCAGAGAACGTAAGTGTGCATAACTTCTATAGTGTCGAGGATGACGTCATAAAAGACTGGTACCGAAAAGAAAGATTCGGAAAGTGAGACAAAAACAAAGATATAGAGTCTAGATCGAAATATCAAAGTGTTCCTGCGATGGGGCAACAGAAGACACATTTTTTTTATTAAGAAGATAATTACTATATTTGACACAGTTTTACTAAAACTTAAATACATGGTAAACTGGAAAGGCTTTAAATTTCGCGTGTCGGTTTTAGACTCACATAAAAGTGACGAGCAAAAATACGCTGAATCCTCCAAATACCAGGAACACAGACCCCCGGAAGCTGTCCACAGTTGCCGTGTATGTAGACTTTGACGTCACTTCCGACAACACTGTACACACAGACTGCATCACCGCAACCCCGGCAAATAACGCACCTTTAACGGGATATTTAACATCATGCGTATCTCGATCAAAGTAGTGTGACGTTTTAAATGGTCTGAAGGATACATATCGCTGAATAAATATTATTATTTTCAACGTCCTATCTGACATTACTTTTTTCACTATGAATATTATACTTTTTTTTATATAATGTATATAAATAAAATATAACATGTTCTATTCATATCGGGCTTAGAATTGTACTTTTGGCCAGAAATAAGTATGTATATATAATAAGGTTGTCTAAACGACAATGAATATCAATTCTCATCCGCGTGTAAGTGTAAGCTTATTTTACAAATATTAAAACCCCCCAAATAGATTTGATTATTAGATATTTATCCACTTTCTACGAAATAAAATACATGGGGTACCAATAAAAGTTATTGATTCCAAATTTGAACATTAAAATGGCAATAGAAAATAAACCTTGTTTGTCTGGAGATGTCATTTTTGACATTATCGACCGGATCACAGGACTGGCCAGTATACTGAATATTCCAACAACGGGCACTGGAACAGAGAGAATACCAAACAAGTTTACTTAGATTTAATGAACAAACGTAAAGATTTTGTTTGTTTGTTTGTTTGTTTATTTGTTTAGGGCTTATCGTCCTTGCAACAGCCAGGGCCATATAAGGACGAGTGCTCAAGGGAGACAACCGCCAGGATCATATAATGACGGGTGCCTAGGGAGACAACAGACAGGGTCATATAAGGACGAGTGCCCAAGGGAGACAACAGCCAGGGTCATATAAGGACGGGTGCCTAGGGAGACAACAGCAAGGGTCATATATATGAGGACGGGTGGCTAGGGAGACAACAGCCAGGGTCATATGAGCAAGGTCATATGAGGACGGGTGCCAAGGGAGACAACAGCCAGGGTCATATGAGGACGGGTGCTAAGGAAGACAGCAGCCAGGGTAATATGAGGACGGGTGCCTAGGGAGACAAGAGCCAGGGTCATATGAAGACGGTAGTCTAGGGAGACAACAGCCAGGCTCATATGAGAACGGTGTCTAGGGAGACAACAGCCATGGTCATATGAGTCGGGTGTCTAGGGAGACAAAACAGCCAGGGTCATATGAGGACGGGTGACTAGGGAGACAACAGCCAGGATCATATGAGGACGAGTGCCCAAGGGAGACAAAACAGCCAGGGTCATATGAGAACGGGCGTCTAGGTAGACAACAGCCAGGGTGATATGAGGACGAGTGCCCAAGGGAGACAAAACAGCCAGGGTCATATTAGAACGGGTGTCTAGGGAGACAAAATCCATGGCCATATGAGGACGGGTGCCTTGGGAGACAACAGCAAGGGTCATATATATGAGGACGGGTGTCTAGGGAGACAACAGCCAGGGTCATATGAGGACGAGTGTCTAGGGAGACAACAGCCAGGGTGATATGAGAACGGCTGTCTAGGGAGAGAACAGCCATGGTCATATGAGGACGGGTGCCCAGGGAGACAAAACAGCCAGGGTCATATGAGGACGGGTGCCTAGGAAGACAGCTGCCAGGGTAATATGAGGACGGGGGCCTAGGGACACAAAACAGCCAGGGAGATATGAGGACGGGTGCCTAGGGACACAAAACAGCCAGGGTGATATGAGGAAGAGTGCCCAAGGGAGACAACAGCCAGGGTGATATGACAACAGGTGTCTAGGGAGACAACAGCCAGGGGGATATGAGAACGGCTGTCTAGGGAGAGAACAGCCATGGTCATATGAGGACGGGTGCCTAGAGTGAGGACGAGTGTCTAGGGAGACAACAGCCATGGTCATATGAGGACGGGTGCCTAGGGACACAAAACAGCCAGGGTGATATGAGGACGGGTGCCTAGGGAGACTCAGAAAACCAAGGTCATATGAAGACGGGTGTCTAGGGAGATGACAGCCAGGGTCATATGAGGACGGGTGCCTAGGAAGACAACATCCAGGGTTATATGAGGACAAGTGCCCAAGGGGGACAAAACAGCCAGGGTCATATGGGGGGAGGTGCCTAGGGAGACAACATCCAGGGTCATATGAGGACGTGTGACTAGGGAGACAACAGCCCGGATCATATGAGGACGAGTGCCCCAGGGAGACAAAACAGCCAGGGGCATATGAGGACGGGTGCGTAGGGAGACAAAACAGCCAGGGACATATGAAGACGGTAGTCTAGGGAGACAACAGCCATGGTCATATGAGCCGGGTGCCTAGGGAGACAACATCCAGGGTCATATGAGGACGTGTGACTAGGGAGACAACAGCCCGGATCATATGAGGACGAGTGCCCAAGGGAGACAACAGCCAGGGTCATATGAGGACGAGTGCCCAAGGGAGACAACAGCCAGGGTGATATGATAACGGGTGTCTAGGGAGAGAACAGCCATGGGCATATGAGGACGGGTGCCTAGGGAGACAAAACAGCCAGGGTCATATGAGGACGGGTACTTAGGNCAGAAAACCAA